TCACCAATTTACCGGAATCACATGTGTGTTGAAAGCTACGTCGTTTATTGTGCCGGACTTTTTCTCGTATCAGCAGCTCTGTTGAGACAGAGCAGCTAACGAACTTTTAAAAGACGTTGCCGATACCACTCTACTGTATCGGGTGCTGCCTTTCGTTAGCTTCTATGAAGTGGTCAACAAAGAGAGCAATCATGATGGAACCCTGCTCACATTGCGGTTAGTGGTAAACAGCGGCTCTTTAACTGGATGCAAGTAGGATTTGCATGCAAGGGTTACGCCCATACGGTAACAGTAGTAGCTGTCCCGCATCACGACATGTAAATATCTCGTCGTCCGAAAACCTCATCTGCCTAATTTTAACGGCACAGCCCGCGCCAATGTAGTATCTATAAAGGTGTTCTGTGGAAGTATCTCTAAACGTTGGCCTGCGCCACCTACTTGTAGCGCATCACCACTTGTAGCAGCCTGTAGCCGCGAAATTAGGCTACAGGTGACGGCAGCAATTTCGGAAGAATTTATCATCAATTTATATACATTATCATGAATAATTCTTGATTGACCGTGTAGTTTACATTTTTTCAGAACCTCTAATTTATCTTGCACTGATATTGAGCACTGAAAGCCTGTTTTACGCTTGTATTGACAACAGTGCAATCGCGTCACATCAGACATACATCACATCAGACACAGCAGACATCAGACATCGCGTCACATCAGACGTACACTTGCAATATAGATTAATATAGATTACGGTGGTTGTTCAGCAACAAAAAGACATCTATCTGACTCATTATATCTATATTTTTAGGAGTGTAATGGTAAAAACATGAAAAAATCACCCCAGAACACAAAACGAATTGTCACTGAGTCCATAGTTTTCTGTGAGAAACTCTACGACTCATAGAGTTAATACACACTCTCTACAGGAAAAGCTCCCAATAGCGCTCATGCTGGGATAATCTCGCGGTGCGCTTTCGTCGCTAGCACTCACTATTTTGTTACAGCAGAACTGTACGGCGCGGTAGCAACGCGGTTTTGCGCGTCGGCCACGGCCACGAAGGCTATTTTCTTTAGTGAATATATATGAATATATATATATATATATATATATATATATATATATATATATATATATATATATATATATATATATATATATATATATAAGCGATGCCTTTGGAACAATAATGCTGCACTGTTCAAAAAATACTTGCGCAAAAAAAAATGCATGAAAAATTTCTACTAGGGCTTGAACCAACGACCGCACTTTTCTGCACATGCTGCGTTAGCGCACAACGCCACTGCTGCCGATTGGTTTGGTGGGTTTAACAAGCTGGTTTTGTATTGTTGTCACGCTGGACGTAAATCCACGTGTTACTTTTTACTTACTTTAACGGCTTATATCGTTACGTCTAGATAACCGCTAGACACCCGTTTCGTTGTGCCTTCTTCTGTTCGCCTAAACGCACGCCAGCGAAAACGTCATGGAAAATAAAATCCCACTCACCTCGAAGAAGGTGGACATCCCCGTGAAAGTAGCTTTTATTGGTGTCCTTACTCTGCTAACTTTGCCGATAAAGGCCCTTTTTTTTTCGCCATATCTGCAACGCTCAGCGAAATGAAGCCTTTAATGAGGTTGTCCACAACGGCGCGGTAACCGTCTCCGCAAACGACGAACATGACTTTTGTTGCACCCCACATTTCAAATGACTCTTCACAGTTTTACTGAACCACATCTGTTTTACACCTGCCGCACAGTTCAAAGAGGCATAGAGGCTGCACTTAGAAAACGTATAAACCCGGTAGCACAAGATTACCAACAAAACCACTCAAACAACCTACAAGCGCCATATTGATCGCTAATGACTTCAAAGTAGGCTTGTCTTGGCCGATTGGAGTTAACCGACTCTTTCGAAGTTCACATAAAAAAACAACTTGAAGCTGGCAAAAAAAGAAAACTCATTCACAAAATTTCAAATTCATAAACTCACGTTTCTTTTTTTGAACACGTAAAAAGCACGCAGTAAGCTTGATTGGTTTCAATTGTTTATTTATTTTTTTCACTCTACCAAAAATTGTATTTTGGCTTTCGTAGTGCGGCTGTCAGGTGTGGTGGACATATGGCTTGTAAACATCCGGTCGTTCTGTGATCCGGTCGCGCAAAAATGCAAATGGTAGTTAAGCATTCTGCGATGATCCCGTTGATTCTCATCGATGCAGTAACAAACTGGATCTACCTACAGTGGAGAGCATGTGAAACAAAAAAGTTTTTGTGAACTTCACTAAGCTTCCCAGCTGTATATTGTTCAGCAGCATGCCGTGACGGAATGCGTTAACTGGCGTACATAAGCATACATAATCGCCAAAAGAACGCGACCAGTACACCCAACTTGGAGGAGACCAACAGAGAAAAAAAAATACACATCAAAGATAAAAGTTATCTATGTTATTCTAGATTAACGACGAAAGCATAAAGTGCAGATCTGCGAGATGTTGACTATTTTCCGTTCAATACACAAGGTAATGGTAGAGATATTCTCGTCTGGGCTCCGTAATTATTGTGTGGTGTTGTTCAAATTTTTTTCACAAGCTGTAAGTGTTACATAGACGAGTATTCGCTGACCTACTATATCTGTAAGCATTAATATATTCTTTATCTTGTATTTGCATAAGCAAGAACTCAGCGTAAGTAATAGTGTAAAAACAGCTGGTCTGTGGAGAAGAATTATCTTTGGCTAAGTTGTAAATGATGTGTAAAGCTCTTTGTTTAATAGCGTGGAGCTTCTTTAAAGTGCTGCTAGAAAGAAGAACAATTAAAACCTGAGACAGCGTAACGCACGAGCCTGGACTGCCTCATCACCCAGCAACTTTTCTTTTAACCAAACACTAGAGTTTCAAATGGCTGGCACTATTTTTATGTTTCTAGAGCTGCAAGTCAGTGATTCCATTAATAGCACATGCTTTACCCCGTGGCCAAAAAGTGATCCCTCTCGTCTTAGCCACAATGATTCCTAGTGCACTTTCCCCAGTCACGCTCCAGTTTTACTAACTAAAAAAGTTCTACGAAGATTACGATACTTCGATCCTAACGCAAATTCTACGTGCAGCTTCTTGTTGAAGCAATGCTAACTGCAGCCACATGCACTCCGCAATTTGTAGAAACGTAACATTAATTCGTTACATGTTGCCACTAAAACTGCCAGTGCTCAAGCTTCACGCACACCACTATGTGCGTTGAAGGCGCCGCGAACTAAGCGGAGCACCTAATGCCACTTTACGACAATTGAAGCCTGCCGCACTGCATGCGCACTAACTTCGACCATAAGGAACGAAAGCGAGGTGTGGGGAGACAGCCTGCATGACTGAGGAAGAAGGCGAGGCTGCAGTCGCTCTTGATATCTACAGGCTCCGCGTTTACTCTCTCGTCCTCGATCCATCGGTTACGCCTCCAACGCAGACGGCGACGCCGCATGACCCATGAGCACACGCCTAGAGATCAGCTCTTAAACACAACTGTATTATCGGTGCCATAAGTGCACGGTCATCGGCAGGATTCTCTCTTGAGGGGTGCAAATGGCTGGTGTAGGGCGAAAGCACTGGTGCAGCTTGCGCGAGTGCAAGTGCTGGTGAGGCTTCAGGGGGACAACACCCCATTTGTTCCCCCTACCGACGCCCATGCATAAGTGTGCAAAACAAAATGAGTAATAGATACTGACAATCTTGTTAATAATAGGTTAAACACAAAACAACCCAGTATGCTTCCCTATGTGACTCAAAGCTAGCGTGGGATCCAGTGTTTCTCGTGAGTGCTAAATAATATTTACATACTGATGTTGAGGCGACACACAAGAATTCAGAAGTTAGAAGACTCGATTGCCCTCATATTACGGAAGTTCAAGCTGGGCAGAAAGTATTTCTTGCTTTTGTTTTGAAAGTGTAAGACTTACTTAAAGTAAATAAAGAAGGCTAACACTTCTCTTCAATTCTTTGGAGAATGAATTCGCTCTGCAGTTACAGTACACCAACTTTTTTTCAAACCATGCTTGCATGGCATTGGAAGATTACGTCCCTCAATAAAATCAGAGAGAAGTCTTCAAATGACGTTCTCTAGGCCTTTAAAGAAAACTCAAAACGGACAAACAGAAAATTCGCAAGTTTGTGTCACACATTTAATCAGATGACACATTTAAAACAATGCTTGAATACATGAACAGAAAATTTAAGGTATTCATCTTGCTTCAAGAACACAAGTACTGCAACACATATATTGTTCTATGCTTGGCAGAAAGGTTTCACGCATATGTGCAATAAGCTGTAACAAGCTGTTTTGGAAAGCTCAGATGGATGCACACGAAACGAGACATTGAGAAATATTGACTCTTACGCACCTTCTCTGTGATAACCAAGGTGAAGTACTAATCACAAAAAAGAAAGCTTTTGTCACCAAAACAGTCTGAAGAATTTCAAACAATGTAAGAACTTAAACAAAAATTCGAGCGACCTATGTTTGCAAGACACAGGTACAGTGACAATCTGTCAAGTGAGGACGATGCTTCCATGCATGCGTACAACAAGCTCTTTTCAAAGGATCACATGCAAGCCCACGAAACAAAGCGTAGAGAATTATTGCCTCTTGTTCACCTTCTCAGTGATAAACACAACCAATTATCACAGACAAGAATTCTTGAGGCACAACAACACTCTCATCAACCATTTCAAGTGATACGTGGAAGCTGAAAAAGCCCCTCTTATTTGCAAGACATGAGTATCAACTACAAATAGCTGTCCAATGGGGATGATGCTGTACACGCAAGGGTACAACAAGCCGTTTTCAAAGGTTCAGATGGAAGTGCACAAAACAAAGCGTGGAGAATTATTTGCTATTGTGCACCTTCTCTGTGATAACTCAGCTAAATATCGGGAAGAAGAAAGCTTGCACCACCAAACACACTGATAAACCATTTCAAGCAATGCGTGGAAGCTGAAAACAACCAATTGAGCCACTCTTGTTTGCAAGACATGAGTACCGTGACCATTAGCTGTTCAATTGGAATAATGCGATAGATGAATGCACACAAATATAGCTGTATTCAAGGGTCCACATGGAAGCATACAAAACAAAGCATGGAGAATTATTTCCTCTTGTCTACCTTCTGAGTGATAAACACAACCATTTACCACAGACGAGAATTCCTGAGCCACAACAACACTCTCATCAGCCATTTCAAACAACACGTGAAAGCTAAAAAAGCCCCTCTTGTTTGCAAGACATGAGTATCAATTACTAATAGCTGTCCAATGGGGATGATGCTGTACATGCAAGTGTACACCAAGCCGTTTTCAAAGGTTCCCATGGAAGTGCACAAAACAAAGGGTGGAGAATTATTTGCTATTGTGCACCTTCTCTGTGATAGCACAGCCACGTATTGGGAACAAGAAAGCTTGCGCCACTAAATACTCTTGTCAACCATTTCAAGCAATGCATGGAAGCTCAAAACAATAACTTGAGCCACCCTTGTTTGCAAGACATGAGTACCGTCACCATTTGCTTTTCAGTTGGAATGATGCGGTAGATGAATGCGTACAACAAGCTGTTTGAAAGGTTCATATGGAAGCACACGAAACAAAATCTTAAGAACTATTTGCTCTTACTCAGCTTTTGAGCAATAAACACAGTTAAGTACATTTACCGAGGAAGCAAGCTTGTGCCACCCAAACACTCATTACACTATATAAAGTACTAATGTGTTGAAACTTAAACTGAATATTTGAATCAATTTTGCTTTAAGATATGAGTACCATGAGAAATACTTAATTGGCCAGTGGGGAAGATGCTTTCATGCATACGTACGGCAAGCTGTTTTCAAAGGCTCAGATGGAAGCACACAAAATGAAATTTTGATAATTATTTGCTCTTATTTTGATTCTGAGGAATAAACACAGCCAAGTACCATTCACAAGTAAGCAAGCTTGTGCCAAGCGAACCAAACTCTTAGATCGACCATTTCGAGCAGTGCATGAAAAACTGAACTGAATATTTGATGTAGTTTTGTTTCAACAACACCAGTACTGCGAAACCTTTTTTAATGAGGTTTTATATACTTGTTTTGTACTTGGATAGATTAATTACTTTATTGAAATCTTTCAGTGCTTCCGTTTAGACCACAGAGCCAGTTGCTATGTCAGAACAGAGAGGCCTTGCCCCTCGACCGTGTTGTGTGCACTTATGCCTCGAGGCATAGGCCAGGGCTGTGCCTCGAGGTCGAAGCTGCGTAGAGCTCATTCGCGCTCTTCCTTTGTAGTGCTGCATAGCCCCTTGTGCTTTGTGCCTTGGGGCAATGACAGAGCACGTGAGCGAGACTTGGTGGATCTCTCCTGAATCTAAGGATGAATTGTCTTTTATCTTTTTGTGTATTATTCATATAATAAAAACTTACTCAATCACTGTATACCATTAGAGATTTCTAATTGAAGATTATTCCTAGCACAAAAGCAATATTTGAATTAGTATTTTTTTTTTTCATAAACTACACAGCATTATTTGTGCAAATGTAACACGTGTATAACTATGGTGATCAAATCAAATTAATGTACTTTGGTAATTATCTGATATACTTATCTGTTACACTTTTGCACATAATTGCATCTCATGATATGTACAAGTTAAAATTGGTTATTTCTTGAGGTTGTGTACAGCCAACTAATGGAGCTGAAAAACTGAGTATTTTAGGCCCCTCAATGCTAAAAAAAACAAAAATGTTATGCATCCCTATGTATTTGGTCTAATAAGTTTATTCATGTCCTGCATTGACTATTAAGTTTGACAATGAGCCCTATGCAAGTCCTATGTATGGCCCCCATTCAGCCCCATTAGCTCCTACATTGTGCTAGATTGGACCTACATACCGAACCCATAATCCCTACACAGCTCCTACATACCACTATATGTCCTGCCCAGGTCCCATTCAGCTCCTACATACCACCATGTAGGTCCTGTGCAATGCCTATCTACCCTCATTTGGTTCCTGTACAGTTCCTGTATTACCTCCTGTAATTCCTTTTTTGAAACATACAGATCATGCATGGAATTATAGAGGTTTTTTTAGTACGGAAGGCAGCCAGGATATTTGTCAGATCCATGGCTTCTGGAAGAGACGATTAGTCAAACCGTTTCATCAGTGGCCCCGAAAAAGCTGCACGAAATTCGTACCAGTGTTGTCACCCTGCGGTAATTCGGCGTCTACCGTACTACTCAGTCGATCGATAGCACCTTAAAAAATGCCCGGAATACCAATATGATCGTTCAATAAATTGACATCTGTGTGCTGCTGCCAAAACTTTCCATCGCGAACTTCCAAAGCTTACCTAAAAATACTTTGCAAATCGAAAGACAGTGGCCGCATCCGCCATGCTTCGTCACCAGGGGATCCAAGGCTTCTGGAAGAGACGATTAAACAAACCGTTCCATCAGTGGCCCCGAAAGAGCTGCACGAAATTCGTACAAGTGTTTTCACCCTGCGGTAATTCGGCGTCTACCGTACTACTCAGTCGATCGATAGCACCTTAAGAAATGCCCGGAATACCAATGTGATCGTTCAATAAATTGACATCTGTGTGCTGCTGCCAAAACTTTCCATCGCGAATTTCCGAAGCTTACCTAAAAATACCTTGCAAATCGAAAGACAGTGGCTGGATCCGCCACGCTTCGTCATCAGTGGATCCAAGGCTTCTGGAAGAGACGATTAAACAAACCGTTCCATCAGTGGCCCCGAAAGAGCTGCACGAAATTCGTACCAGTGTTTTCACCCTGCGGTAATTCGGCGTCTACCGTACTACTCAGTCGATCGATAGTACCTTAAGATATGCCCGGAATACCAATATGATCGTTCAATAAATTGACATCTGTGTGCTGCTGCTATAACTTTTCATCGCGAATTTCCAAAACTTACCTAAAAATACTTTGCAAATCGAAAGACAGTGGCCGGATCCGCCACGCTTCGTCATCAGTGGATCCAAGGCTTCTGGAAGAGACGATTAAACAAACCGTTCCATCAGTGGCCCCGAAAGAGCTGCACGAAATTCGTACCAGTGTTTTCACCCTGCGGTAATTCGGCGTCTACCGTACTACTCAGTCGATCGATAGCACCTTAAGAAATGCCCGGAATACCAATGTGATCGTTCAATAAATTGACATCTGTGTGCTGCTGCCAAAACTTTCCATCGCGAATTTCCAAAGCTTACCTAAAAATGCCTTGCATATCGAAAGACAGTGGCCGGATCCGCCACGCTTCGTCATCAGTGGATCCAAGGCTTCTGGAAGAGACGATTAAACAAACCGTTCCATCAGTGGCCCCGAAAAGGCTGCACAAAATTCGTACCAGTGTTTTCACCCTGCAGTAATTCGGCGTCTACCGTACTACTCAGTCGATCGATAGCACCTTAAGAAATGCCCTGAATACCAATGTGATCATTTCATAAATTGACTTCTGTGTGCTGCTGCTAAAACTTTCCATCGCGAATTTCCAAAGCTTACCTAAAGATACCTTGCAAATCGAAAGACAGTGGCCGGATCCGCCACGCTTCGTCATCAGTGGATCCAAGGCTTCTGGAAGAGACGATTAAACAAACCGTTCCATCAGTGGCCCCGAAAGAGCTGCCACGAAATTCGTACCAGTGTTTTCACCCTCGGTAATTCGGCGTCTACCGTACCTACTCAGTTCGATCAATAGCACCTTAAGAAATGCCCGAATACCAATGTGATTGTTCAATAAATTGACATCTGTGTGCTGCTGCCAAAACTTTCCATCGCGAATTTCCGAAGCTTACCTAAAAATACCTTGCAAATCGAAAGACAGTGGCCGGATCCGCCACGCTTCGTCATCAGTGGATCCAAGGCTTCTGGAAGAGACGATTAAACAAACCGTTCCATCAGTGGCCCCGAAAGAGCTGCACGAAATTCGTACCAGTGTTTTCACCCTGCGGTAATTCGGCGTCTACCGTACTACTCAGTCGATCGATAGCACCTTAAGAAATGCCCGGAATACCAATGTGATCGTTCAATAAATTGACATCTGTGTGCTGCTGCCCAAACTTTCCATCGCGAATTTCCAAAGCTTACCTAAAAATCCCTTGCAAATCGAAAGACAGTGGCCGGATCCGCCACGCTTCGTCATCAGTGGATCAAAGGCTTCTGGAAGACACGATTAAACAAACCGTTCCATCAGTGGCCCCGAAAGAGCTGCACGAAATTCGTACCACTGTTTTCGCCCTGCGGTAATTTGGCGTCTCCCGTACTACTCAGTGCATCGACAGAACCTTAAGATATGCCCGGAATACCAATAAAATCGTTCAATAAATTGACATCCGAGTGCTGCTGCCAGAGCTCTCTATCGCGAATTTCCAAAGCTTACCTAAAAATACCTTGCAAATCGAAAGACAGTGGCCGGATCCGCCACGCTTCGTCATCAGTGGATCCAAGGCTTCTGGAAGAGACGATTAAATAAACCGTTCCATTAGTGGCCCCGAAAGAGCTGCACGAAATTCGTACCAGTGTTTTCACCCTGCGGTAATTCGGCGTCTACCGTACTACTCAGTCGATCGATAGCACCTTAAGAAATGCCCGGAATACCAATGTGATCGTTCAATAAATTTACATCTGTGTGCTGCTGCCAAAACTTTCCATCGCGAATTTCCAAAGCTTACCTAAAAATACCTTGCAAATCGAAAGACAGTGGCCGGATCCGCCACGCTTCGTCATCAGTGGATCCAAGGCTTCTGGAAGAGACGATTAAACAAACCGTTCCACCAGTGGCCCCGAAAGAGCTGCATGAAATTCGTACCAGTGTTTTCACCCTGCGGTAATTCGGCGTCTACCGCACTACTCAGTGCATCGACAGCACCTTAAGATATGCCCGGAATACCAATAAAATCGTTCAATAAATTGACATCCGAGTGCTGCTGCCAGAGCTCTCTATCGCGAATTTCCAAAGCTTACCCAAGAGGAACTTGCTTACCAAAAGACAGTGGCCGGATCAGCAGTGCTTCGTCATCAGAGGATCCAAGGCAGCCAAGTATTGGTCTGATCTAAGGCTTCTAGAAGAAACGAATAAACAAACCGTTCCATCAGTGGCCCCGAAAGAGCTGCACAAAATTCGTACCACTGTTCTTGCCCTGCGGTAGTTTGGCGTCTCCCGTACTACTCAGTGCATCGTCTGAGCTAAGCGTCTTGCTTTCTTCGCGTAAGATGATCAAGCCTCTCGAATAGTGCCTGCTGCCTACCTGCCCTCATCTAATCGACCTAATGGCGCATGCTGGCAGTCGAACCAACCTCGCGAGCGTAAATTCATTCTAAAACACGCGCCGGCGAGCGCACCAGCACAGCTACCACGCGCGCACGAGAACAAAGAGCCACCGAAACTTCACCCAATGTTAGCAATACGAGAACTATTCATGATGGCTACCCTGGGCTATCAAACAAAACCAACGCCTCCCCTATGTAGAGGTCGCCACCCTTCAGTCATTTAATTCGGCTGCCACTAGCATGTGGCGCCAGCTAACAAAAAGGCACCCCCCCACCCCCCACCTTATTCGGGGCAGAATATATACAATCTCAGGTGCGCCACATGCTAGTGGCAGCAGAACTAAATGGCTGAAGAGTGGCGACCTCTACATGTCCCCCCCTTGAAGACCAGACGGAAGACGGAGGACGCCAGACACTGCAGATCACAAGTTCAGGCGGTTCGGAGGCACAACACGGCGGCCACTACGTGTTCGTGTCACCCTAGAAAGTTGCCCGCCGCAAGAGAAGAAAAGCAGCTGGCACACTGTTTCCCTCCTTTATTCTAGAATGTTGTCAGTCGCTAGCGTCACTTGTGGCGGACGACGCAACAACGCAGCACTTTGACTTTGCATAGCCCCTGAAGCAGTGATGTACGGTTGCCGGTCTTGAACAACTCTGGACTGACGCGTCCCAATGGGCTGCAGGTGAAAAACGCTTTGCTACAGTACCGTCCGCCGCCGTGATGTTGGATGGATGAATGAATGGATGGATATGGCTGTACCCTTCAGATCGAGCGGTGGCTAGCGCTCCCAAGCCGTAATACTTAATGAACCAAAAACTGGATTTATTTTTTTTCTTTAAAAAGTGAGTTTGAGGATTCGTACTTTGCAGTGAAGAGTTTAATTTTCACTCGTGCCTTGACTTTAGCCACTAATCAGATAACCTCCGTGTAGTTAAGTCTACCCGCTTAAAGTCTATTTCGCCCTCCCGGTCCCTAAACCCCAGTGCTTTGAAAAACTCTGCGCCATCATCCTGAACTATAGGGTGAAGCCCTTTACAGAACATTATCAAGTGTTCGGCAGTTTTCTTCTTCTTCTCCACATACACTGCATACTGTGTCTACCCCATCGAATTCGGCCCGATATATCTTGGTTCGCAGTACTCCAGTCCTGGCTTCAAACAGTAGAGAACTACCCCGAGTATTATCATAGATCCTTTGCTTGGCAATTTTCTGCTTAAAAGTTCGATAGATCTCTAGTGCGGACTTCTTAATCATGTCCATTCTCCACATGTCAGTCTCCGTTTCCTTCACTTTCTTATTAACCGATAGTTCTTTTTGGTTTGGCCACCTGCTGTTTTCTAAGTATTTACCAGTGAATTTCCTGGTTCGCTTCCTCCATTTTGAATCGACATTCTTCATGTACAAGTAGCTTAAAACCTTCCTAGCCCAATGCTACTCTCCCATTTCTCTCAATCGCTTCTCAAATTTTATCTTGCTGCTAGCTTCCCTGCCCTTAAATGATGTCTATCCCATATCACCTTGTATTCCCTGATTTGGTGTATTCCCGTGAGCTCCTAAAGCAAGCCTACCTATTCCACGTTTCTTAATTTCTAATCTTGCTTGAACGTCTGATCTCATGCACAAGACCGCATTGCCGAACGTCAGCCCAGGAACCATGACCCCTTTCCATATTCCTCTCACAACATCATACCTATTGTAATTCCACAGTGCCCTATTTTTCATCACTGCTGCATTCCTGTTACCTTTAGTCATCACGTATATTTCCGGTTCCCTCAGGTACTCGGTCCCATTGCTTATCCATACGCCCAGATATTTGTATTTATCGGTTATCTCTAGCGTGACCTCTTGTATTCTAAGCTCACTACCTTCGTTGTCATTGAAAATCATGACTGCTGATTTTTCCTTACGGAATCTGAAATCTAACCTATCTCCTTCATTACAGCAGATGTCCATCAATCTCTGCGAATCTTCCTTGTTTTTGGCCATGAGCACTATATCATCTGCGTACATTAATGCTGGTAGGGCCTGATAAATGAGTTTTCCTTGTTTGACTAAAGAGAGGATGTTAGTGTCGGTCGCAAGCACCACCGCGCGCCGAACTGAAAGCAGGTCAACTTCGCTGGTAGCGCGAGCCATTCCTCAGGCATCTTTCTAGAGGAGGCGTTGGCAGAACTAGCACTACTGCCACTACACCGTGTAGCACTAGGTGGCTAGAATTGGGAGGTGTGAAAAGCAGCCGCTCCAAGGTGGCCCCAGCTCGCAAGCCTGCAGCTGTAGTCGGAGGCGCTGCCACCTTTCTTCGTTGCAACGCACCCGCGATGGTCATTTCGAGATTTTCGCCAGTAGAAGAGTGTTGTCGAAGTGAAAATCAAACAGAAATTTCACCAATTATGAATACACGCATCTTCCGCTGAACGAACATTCTATTAGAGCGAAGTTTTCGACAGAGGGTCGTTGCGACAGAACCACTCTTTATATGCTTGGTGAAAACAAAATGGTTTTATTTTTTATAACATTGAAGTATACGTCTTGACGGAGTCAAAAAAAAAAAAGCTTGCTCTAGTGGAGCGTGGTATCTTTGACGATGCTGGTTTGCCAACATTGCCTTGTGCTAACCCGCGGTAGATTGTGACAACATTTGCTGCTAAATCTGCCTGGATAGTGCGACTTACCGAGTGCAGTTACGCATTGCCATTTTATGAATGCTGGACTTGTATTACACCTGAGGCAGTATTCTTAAACATGCGTAGAAACTAAGACAACATTTAGTTTCATTGCTGCAACAAAATTTAATACAGTAAATCACTAACGGACATTTTTTTTACGTGACACAGGGATTGCATTCCGAAACCTTTTTCTCGCTTTTTGCTTGGTTCAGACCCTTAAAAAAAAGACTCTCGTCGCGCAAAATAATTTGACCACTGCTTTGTTCAACTCTTTGCAATGTTCAATGCAGTCAATTTCTGGAAACCACTTAGAGATCGTAGAAGACTGGCTACTAAATTTGAATAAAGGCGCAGTGTGCTAAACACATGTGTCAACTTAGTTTGCATAGTCTCTACCAGGTTTTACAGAGACTCTGATCGATACAGAAGTCCCTTTAGATCCCAATTTCTAGTCGCTTGCCTTCGCAGCTTGTCGAGTCATTTGGGCGATCCTCCAACAAATTAGGGTTATCGGGCCACTTCTTTGCTGGTACGTAGTCCGATGAAGCAGCATTTCGTGCTTTTCATTCTTTAGGCAAACTCTTCGATATATATTTGGGCAGGCTTGGGATTAAGCTGGGTACCGCATTATCTCCTAAACTTGTCTTATCATGCTGCATTCTTTCTGTCCTTCCACAATATGCAAGAATATGCAATATGCGCGCTGAATATAGAAAGCAAGCGAGAAGACATAATTTTCATGTAAATAAATCTATTTATCGAAAAGCAATGCCCGAGGTATTAAGAGTGCCACAAAGCGTTCAATACCCTCACTTGCCGATAAATAAATCTATTTATAAAAAAGCAATGCCCGAAATGTTAAGAGCACCACAAAGCGTTCAATATCTTAACTTGCCGATGCCGTCCACGCATGCACACAAGTGTTCTCTGCCCTTAAATAAATTCAATACATTTACCATGCGTCAAAATGTTTTTTCGCTGACGGTGGAATTTTCCTGGAGCGCTTTGTCCAAGCTTGCGATGGTGCGCTCCTATTTTGCTAACCTGTCTTTGCATGCCAGAACGCACAAGAAAGGCAAAAATTTTCAGCCCCCGATCTGTATCCCGCGTTGCACCCAGGCACAAAACAAGCCCGCAGTGTTTTTTTCTTGTTCTTTGTAGGCGCCTTTTAGTCTTTTAAGGGAAACACAACAAAGTCGTCGCACCACGCGGAACACAAATGATGCTGAGAAGCACTTGCCGTGAGTCACCAGTAGCCACCATTGGCGTACACTGTACCTGCAGCCGTACCTGTGGCCCTGCTAGCAGCAGTGCCTCCGATCGCCGCGCTAATTCAAGGCGTAGCGGAGATCTCGCGCACTGCGGCACCGCTCGCCGCTCGGCAAGGTAAACACGGCTCGCTTTTCACACCTTCCCATTCCAGCCACTCTACTAGTACAGTGTCTAGAAATATACTACTAGAGCTTTGGAGCATGGCTATGGTGGTTAGAAGTAGAGGTGTGCGCCGACTGGTCGGCGCGCCGCCGCCAATAGTTTTCACCGCGCCGCCGCCGCCGACGCGAACTGATCGGCGCGCCGCCGCCGCCGCCGCCGACGTTTTTCATCGGCGCAATCGGCGCGCCATTTATGCGCCAGTACGGACTTTTCATAGATTTCTCATCTTTTTCATCTTGATTTATAGCCTCGTTTCACATTTTATGTAGCCAGTAAAAACCAGGCTTCTTAGTTATCTTCATCCAGCTTCAGAGGCCGAGAGTACCACTATGAACAGCGGAACGAGTTCGGCGGCCGCTGCATGAAATGACATATTGGACAAATTGACGAAAAATAATTGTAACAGTTACAGTAAAGCATAGACACTGCCATCTTAGGCTCAAAAGCAATTTTTGCTGTTTTTTTTGTCGTAATTAGCTATGATTATGGTGATACGACGTTTAATGTAATGGCCACGCGTTTTGATGCGTGCGAGTTCGCCATAGCACAATTCGAATATTCATACGGATGAAAAACGGCTTCATTATCAGTCCAAGATGGCAACCTATAATTGTGCCCGAAACAGGGCGTATATAAAGAAGAAATGAAGTGGTAGCAGTGCAGCACGAACGAATGCAGCGCGTTAGATGAAGGGAGGAGGAGGAATAAATGAGGAAGGACAGGGAGGTTAGGCGTTAGATGAAGAACTACACAAAACCCCGAAGGACGAAATCGAAAGGGAGAAGTTTAATGAAGATTAAAAGCGTCGAAGCATAATACATGCTCGAACCTACTCAGGGTATATCAGCACCTGTCCGTGGTGTTATAGTTGATAATTTTCGAGGATGACCACCTATATGCAGCGTCTGAACATGCTGC